TCTCATTCAGACTTGTTAAAGATCTGTACCCATTATAAATTGGAATAATGTTACTATTCATACACATAAACGCACATTTAGTGACTACTTTATGCACACAAGAAGCATATTTTGTTATTTGAAAAGAAAATGTTTGTTTATGTTAGTTTTATTTATTTTCAACGATGAATATAACTAATTAACGATTATGCCTCAAACTATTTAATGATTATGCCTCGAACTTTTAGTTTTATTTCTATACTAGTGTTTCATCGCGCAAGGCGCGAGAGCCTTTGCCTAATGTTGAATAAAGTTCTTTTGTGCAAACAAATATGATGTGTGATATATTGTTGTAAGATATAAATACTTTCATTGAACAAGCTAGAGAGTTGTTAGTAAAATATATATTCCTAGCTCCGTTCTTTAATAGTTGCAATATTGTGATTTTTGTTATATTCACACACCTTACTTTGACCATAAATTTGTACTAATATATACTCCGTATAATCAAATTATTTAGTATAAAATGTTATTAAATTTCTATTAATGCGAATTTCCAAAATATTAACTTTTTATAATATTTACTAATATGAAAGCAAATATAGTTACAGTGAAAACTATATGTTGGCAAATGTGAAAGTCAAATTGTTGCAACTATTAAAAACGACAGATAGTATATATACTTCGTACTATATAAATCTAAACACTTATAAACACCTATGATGGTTATGACTTTTTAGGAATGATAAAAATGTTGGTGTAACACTAAAGCAAGTTTCACTTGTACAATTTGTTTTAATCGGGGTACCATTCATCATTAAGTCTATGACTTATGCTTACCTCCGTTAAATTCAAAACGGCAGAAGGTAGTTCTTCTATTCATTTGATTGGTTTAGTTTACATTCAATGTTTTGTATTCACTTTTGCATTTTCAGCTTTTTCCCTACTTGTAGAAGATAAATATTTAATCTTACTCTATATAGGACTCAAAATGTTTCTATATTCCAAAATAGGATTATCATTTTTTTATTCTCAAAATATGACTAATTATTGTCATGTTTTGGCAGTACCAGACTTTAAAATGACAGTTTTTTCTCAAACTAACCGGTAATTACTCTTATTTTGAGGATAAAAATATGACAGTCCTATTTTGTAATTTTCAAAATTTTTTAATCCTACGAGAATTTTCCCAAAATCACGCGTTTATTCTCTTTAGAATGAACTCAATGAAGCGATCTGACATTGTGACACCCGATACAATTTTCGTGGAGTTTAGCAATCACCCCTTAGTTATTAACTTCTCGTGGCAGCAAAAATTTGGATGCATATCTTCGTTGAGAGAGTTGTTCTTTTCATATTATTCATATCTTCGTTGAGAGAGTTGTTTTGATCCAGATCAAAACAGATCAGAAACATACAGACCAAATTTCAAAACTTCAGACATGATTTATATATTATTATTATTATTACTGATTTTTTATTTACAACTTGTAAAAAGATCGTTAGTATTTTTAAAATTTATATGCTTTTCTTTCGATTTATTAAGTGTTTACTAATTTGTTTTTTTAAATAACCTGTTATTAAAAAACCTGCTATAGCAAGTCAAAATGTCTTGAGTGATTGTGTTCAGAAGTAGGTGAGTTCATATGATATTTTTTTAAGTATAGAGGCTCAGGTTATGGACTTGAAATAGTAAGAGTCTCTTTTATTCCCCCAAATGGGGTGGTATTCAGCCAATTTTTGGACAAAATATTATATTGCCCCGTTTTTAAATGAGGCATTACTCTTGTATGATATTTAACTTTTCACTCTATTTTCTAAATCACTAATATATAGTATGCACTCCAATTGACATGCAAACATTAATGAATTTGAAAATAGGTGTGATATTCTTAATCTCTCGTTATTTAAAGAGGAGTAAAGTGTAGATCACTGCACTTACCGTTATACTAAAAGAAATCACTCATATTTTAGCACGCTTTCCCCTCTTATTTATTTTAGTTTAGATTAAAAAAATGGATTAGATCATATCAGATCAGAAAAATTCTTTTCACATCACAAAGATCAGATTATATCAGACCAGAAAGATACATGCCATATTAGAAAATTTCAGACATCATTTACTATTATTTTGACTGTTAGAAGATTCTTACTTTTTATTATTAAAGGAGAAGATTGTTTATTATCATCAAGAGCCTCAATTAACGATCCTGTTTTTAGCTTATCAGTCTTATGAATCAAATTTTTCACCCAACACACAACTTTTTATTTCACGCGTTGAATGGTATAATAATCTAAATAAGTAAGATTGGAGTTACTTTTGCTTGCAGATAGCCAGATACTATATAAGGTGCACGAAAAAAGCTATGACCTTAAGTTATAGAAAATATTTTGGGCATTATCGCTATCGCGCAGCGCGCGTTAAAAAAACTAGTATTAAAATAGTACTAACTCGGTCTCACTAACATTGGGACAAGAGGAGGTGACACGATTATTAAAAAATGGGTTTATATGGTTTATATTTTAAATTGATAAAGCAAGAATATAGTAAGAATGATTTAGGCCCATACAAATTTTATCAAATTTGATATGAGACGATCTTAATGGAACGGACCGAAAATGAAAAATGAGACAATCTTATTGGGACGGAGAAAATGATATAGAGAATAATATACGTAGTACCATACTTTCATTATACTTCGTCTGTGATATTGCTTGAAATAAGTTTTTAGTAAAATATACTCCATAGTACCCAAGTTAACATCCTGATGTATAAAAACCCTTAAATTAGCAACAAGGGAAAAGCTATGCATTTTGGAGTTTTGAAAAGCTGACTTAACGGAATCTTAAGTTATAAACGTTAGTTGGAAAAAAGCAAGGGCAAAGAAGTCATATTAAAAGTTGGGTTTGATTTTCTACAAGCAATGTACAACTTTTAATGCATAAAGTGTATTGACACAAGTTAAGGGTACCAATCCTCATTCACAATTATAGTTTTGTTAGATTTTCAATCTTTTTATTCGTTTAACCTCCTAAATCAATTCAAATGCAGGTCTATACTTTTTAAAAAATACAATATTGTTAACATCATATTGGACGTGCGTACCCTACTCGGTTTCAAGACCTGGCCCATTGGGTGCAGGTCTGGAACAATAGTTTACGACTCATCGGATATACAGGTCGGAGCTGGAACCATACATAAGTTAGTGGATCCAGGTCTAGAACATCATATCCCAATCCGGACCCAACTCATTGATTGGTCTACCCATCTTCTTTCGTTGTTCTATATTGATTGATAATTTCGATTTTTTACTTTTTATTCTGAAAATAAAAAGTATTAAATAGATAATCTCACCTAATCTTCTCAAGAGAGTCTGCATTAGTCTTCTTAAATTAATATCACCTTTCTTTTTTCTCATTCGTCTCAACAAGTTCTCTCTCTTTTTTTTATACATCGACACTTTTTATTCTTTTTTCGTCTTCTTGATTGTATTTTCTCGTATTTATATATTCTATTTCACACTCTGTTAAAAAAGTTTTTTGTGTAAAATTCCTTCCTCCAATAATTATTTTTCCTTGTTCTTCTTTGTGTATTATTCTCACTCTACCTTTTGACATATTTGTTTTTTTGTGTTCACTTAGCTACTTTTGTTTTGTTTTTTTCATTCTTCTTACCTTGTTTTTTCATTCTTCTTACCTTCATTTCACCATTAATATATTTTCCTCATTTCCGCATCACCATATTTCCTAAGTGCGCCCATCCATTAATTCTGTCAAGTATGGAGAACACTCTTCCGTCATGTATGGAGATCGCCATTGTCACCTACCTCACCATTGTAGACTTAAATCCAGGTGGGGTACTGAGCAAATCAGATTGGAGAAGGCTGATGCCGCACCATTGAGACTTGAATCCAGATGAGATGATGAGCGTTTTTTAGAAGGCTGGTGCCGCACAATTGAAACTAAGTGGAGGAGTAAAATAGGAACAATGGTCATAGAGTAAATGCATGAACAGTACCATAACTATTGGTAATGTTGCATTTTAGTACCTTAACTTTTTAATGAAGCAAATCAGTACCTCAACTATGTTTAAATGTTGCAACCGGCAGTATCATTCAATACGGCCACAAAATGCCACTTGATCGCCAGAAATCCACGTGTACATCCTAGTCATCGTTTATATCCACAATAAACACGATGACTAGGATGCACACGTGGATTTCCGACGGACAAGTGACATTTTTTGGCCGGAATATTGAATGGTACTGCTGGTTGCAACATTTAAAAGTAGTTGAGGTACTGATTTGCTTCACTAAAGAGTAAGATACTAAAATGCAACATCACCAATAGTTATGGTATTGTTTATGCATTTTACTCAATGGTCATATTTAGGAATTAAAGTATACTTACTCCTAATGAATTTAGCGACTTTTTATTCTTATTAAACCATTTTCCAAACATCATTCACATAAAAACTACATGATACATAAAATAACTATGGTTTATTGAAGTTGTGGTGGTTCTAGTGCTATTTATAGTGTGAGGTCGATATATGCATCAAGTTGTACATTAATAGGTATACGTTAAGTATATGAAAATTCGCATTCTTAAAGGTAAATGACCAAGTGTCATACGCAAAAACAAGCAAAGGAACATCTTTGAGAGAAAGAAGATAAAAATGTGCAAGAATGATCAAAATGAAAAAATGAAATGAGCATTCACTTTTTAATTGTCTACAAATTTACAAAAATACCATACATTAAAACGTTCTCATACAAGTTATCCATCATACTTCCATAAAACGAGCATTCATTTTTTCATTGTCTAGAAAATTACAAAGATACCACATATCAAAATGTGCTCATACAAGTTCTCCATCATACTTCCTCGTGCAACTTTTTTGAACGAGATCTTAGATTGCGTCCAACTTCAAGGGAGTAGAATTGGAATCATATATTTACCGACATCCAATTAGAAGTAAACAATTAAGACGTGTAAATGGAGATAAAAAGGAAGATGGTTGTCTATTAGAGATCATGAGATAAACATAAATACATAAATAAATTTATTTACAATTATTTGTGAACTTATGGTTAATGGCCTGCAAACCACCGATTCACCTATTATACCACAACTCGGCTACCTTGCGGTTATAACTTCCTACGCATACTTGATGCACTACTATATTATTTATTGAAAGTATTATACAAACTATCATACTCCTGCTAATTTCAATTGAGCTTTGCACTTATAATTTCCTCAACTGACCCAATCAAACCCATAACTGATACACACAAACAAATCACACTGAGAGTCTCGAGAAACACCCACTTTGTTGTCCAGGCTCTAATCTTCCCTTGCACGAGATACATTTCAACTGGAAAATATATGGCTAACGGCCAAAATGTCAGTGCTCCTAACACTCCTAAGACTTGATTGAAGTAAGGAAATAGAATTGCAATGCCTGTAGTTGACACAACATATGCAGTCCGGAAACATAATCGGAAAAGATTCAATCGAATGGTTGGCATTGACGGAAGCTTAAGAATGTATGGTTTTGACAACACCCGACTTTTTGGGAAATATTGGCCAAACCACTTTTCAACATATGCATAGATTGGCTGACTGTATATCTGAAAAATTGGGTAACTAATTAGTTAAATTGTGTTCTGAGACACCCTAATCTTATCAAATAGTAGTACTCTGTAATTATTTTTACATAAACTTTTGACTATGTACCACACAATATTGTATAGAAAGTAAAATGAATGAAAGAGCTGTAAACTCTTTTCATCATATATTCAATAATTTTATTGGTTACGATGTTTTTAATTGGACTGGTCTAAGTCCCACAATAGATCAAACCTGATCTGACCTATGATGTTTCTTACTTGGACTAATTTTTTAATTTGGTCTGGTCTGATCTGTTCTAATAGATGTCTATTCTATGTGCAATTTTACAATTATCGAGGTTTTCTCTGGTCTAATATGGTATGATCTATTTAAGTCTGATCTTGTCTGGCCTGAGACTAAAACTAGTGCAGGTAGAAACATCCGTAGACGGTTGTATAATACACGACATCTATCAAACTAGATCAATTCCGATCAGATCACATTTAAATAGATCATGCCAGACCAGAAAATTTCGCTCAAGTTAAAAATATGCTTAGTCCGACTTCTATGACCAAACCTTGGTAAAAGCTAGTTTAAATCTAACCCATTACTAACTCATCATTTTCTTTTCAAGTTGTTCAAATTTTGAGTCATGGACAAAACATACATAATATGTTAATAGGTTAATGCACTTTGGCTAAAAAGTTAAGATAAAAAATTAAGAATGATGTAAGCACCTGATACCCGCCAACCAGATGTAGTACAATGCACGCATTAGCAACATCAACCAGCCAATACGGTTCATAGAATCCAAAACCTGTCAAGAGGTTTCCTGGTGTATCATCACCAAAAGCTGCATATCCTATGCATCCACAACACATATAGAAGAAAGTGGTGATTGCAATTGCTGCGAATGAGGCCTTGTTCATAGTTTTGTATTCTGCTGGAGGTGACTTCAGAGTATCCTTTATTTCACAACATGGAAATAAATATGAAGCTCATATCCAAGATCACTTTAAATCATTCCTATTATGAGCTGGACTTCCGGTATTCAAAGTGCATGTTAACACTTAATGAAAATGGAAACAAATAAGGGAAAATCGCATATATGGTCCCTCAATTATCCATGAAATTAAAATCTCAGACCTGTATTTCTGAGATTGTCAATGCCACCCCTCAATTGTCTAAATTAGTGTAAATGTGGTGCTTTAAGTAGTGAAATGTACTCTCACCGACATTGTATATTTCACCCCTCAAAAGGACCACATTTACAGCATTATGGACAATTGAGGGGTGACATTTACAATCTCAGAAATACAGATATGAGATTTTAATTTCGTGGATAATTAAGGGACCATATATGCGATTTTCCCAACAAATAATCATATCTTTTATCGGTCTTATTGAGAATATTCTAGATTACATTAGAATTAATGTAATCATTTATAATCAAACAATTAATATAGGTTTCTGAAATCTACATTATTGCAAGAGCAGCAATAATGTATATATACGTATGTTCAGGAGTAATGTAAGTGGGCATTCCTTTTGTGCCTTTTCAGTTCTGTCCTACTACTACCTTTTCATGTCCACATGGAAAGAAAGGATGGAGAGAGAGTATATGACTTACATACAGAAGAGACTTTTATATCTCGTGATGTGGTATTCTATGAACATATTTTCCCATGCTTGACAAGTGACGTGAAAAATAAGAAAGATTCAGAAGTCGGGAGTCAAATAATTGAAGCTATAGTTGAAGAAAATGGCATTTTTGATTCCATAACTAGTCATGGAGCAGAAGAGAAGATTGCTGACTATTGTGAACAAGAGACAAAAAATAGGGAAAGGGATGAATTTGAGGGAGAAATTGATCAGACGGGAGAAGAACAAACAGAAGATAACACTCAAGGAAGTGAAGAAGTTTTGGAAGACAACACTCAAGGCACTGAAGAAGTTTTAGGCCGATGAGAAAGAAAAAATTTGAACCATATTGGAAGAAAGATTATGTATGCACGACGACACGAGTAGTAAACACGGATCCTACAAACCCAATCCAATCAAAGACCTCAAGGAAAGGTACACGTTACCCGATAACTAATTTTGTCACTTGCAATTCTTTTACTCGTGGGCACAGGGAATTTCTGGGAGCAATTATGACTAACAGAGAACCTACCTAGAGGATATTGGGAGGCCTCGAAGGATATCAGGTGGCAGGAGGCTATGATGAAAGAAATACAAGCCTTAGAAAGCAACAACACATAAAAGATAATGAATTTGCCAAAAGGGAAGAAGGCAATCGGTTGCAAGTGGGTATATAAAATAAAGTACAAAGCAGATGGAACGATTGAACGCTACAAGGCAAGGTTAGTGGCCCAAGGTTTTACCTAAGTCGAAGGGGAGGATTTTCACGAAACGTTCGCATCAGTAGCAAAGATGGTAAGTGTTCGGTGTTTACTAGCCGTGGTTGTGGTAAAGAAGTGGGCAATCTCACAATTGGATGTGAACAACGCCTTTTTGCATGGAAATTTAGAAGAAGAAGTTTATATGAAGCTGCCGCCAGATACAAGTTAGAAGGGGAAAATAAAGTGTGCAAACTCATGAAATCGCTCTATGGTTTGAAACAAGCTTCAAGAAATTGGTTTGACAAGCTGTCTAGATGCTTCCAAAGGTACGGTTTTGTACAATCATCGGCGGATTATTCCTTCTTTTCTTACAGGAGAGGAGACATTTTCCTTGGAGTACTTGTCTATGTCGATGACATGATTCTTGTTAGAAATTGCACTGAAGCTTGCAAAAAATTTAAGTCGTTCCTAAACCGGAATTTCGGAATCAAGGACCTGGATAGGCTAAAGTTTTTTTGGGGAATAGAGGTAGCACATGGAGAAAAGAGTTTGCATCTTAGCCAAAGGAAGTATGCACTTGACGTGGTGCATGAAACCAGATTGATGGGAGCAAAACCAGTAGGGATTCCCATGCAGCAGAATCATAAATTGACATTGGCTACATGATACAAATTGAAAGATCCTATGAAGTATAGGCGCCGCGCCTTATTGAACATTTGATATACTTGACCATTACCAAACCGGAGTTGACATATTTGGTGCATGTGTTATCACAGTTCATGCACGAAGCAAGGAAAGAACACTGGGAGGCGGCTTTGAAAGTTGTGAGATACATAAAAGGGTGTCCTGATAGGGGCATTATAGTAGATGGAAATGGGCCTCTACAACTCCATGGGTACGCAGATTCAGATTGGGCCGCCTGCCCTTTGACTCGACAGTCATTAACCGGCTACTCCATCACTTTAGGAAAAACGCATGTGTCACGGAGAACCAAAAAGCAAGGAACGGTGGCAAGATCTTCGGTTCAAGCTGAGTATAAGGAATTGTCATCATTAACAAGTGAACTGATTTGGTTGAAATCTTTTCTAGCATCTTTGGGAGATTTCCACGGGCAGCCAATGCGATTGTATTGTGATAACCAGGCAGCGTTACATATAGCCAAGAATCCAGTGTTCCATGACCGAACAAAATATAGTGAAATAGATTGTCATTTCGTCAGACAAAACATTGGAAAGATTACATTTTGAATATTTAAGGAGAGATACATCATATGTCGGAACAAAAAACAGTTGGCGGATATTTTCAACAAAGCATTGGAAAGATTACAGTTTGAATATTTACTAGGCAAGTTGGGCATTTGGTCATTAATTGCTCCAACTTGAGGGGAGTAAGAATATTCTAGATTATACTATCCTCCATTCCAAATTAGATGCAACATACCCTCTTGGCACAAAAATTAAGAAACTCTAACGTAATATTCTCCCTCTTTTACCCTTCTCCAGACATCTTTTAATATTCGTAGGCTTTTTCTCTCTCACCCCTTTCTCTTCCTAATACTCGTAGGCTTTTTCTCTCTCACCCCCTTCTCTTCCTGCGTAGATTTGTTTGGATCAACGTCGGCACCGCTAGGTTTGGACAAGGATCAAAGAAGGCACCGCCAGGTTCGGACAAGGATCAAAGACGGCACTGCCAGGTTCTGCGATTATGTAATGGATTTTTGACAATCATAAATTAACTGTATCATTTGCTATTGATTTGAATAAGTCGGACTTTGCTTCGAATTCACGGCTCGTTAGTGTCTCCAGAATTTGGATCAAAGTAGCTAGAGGCTAGACAAAAACAAGTTGGGGAAAGAAAAAAAAAGTCGGCGAGTTCTGGATGAAGTCATGGAAAAACCAATCATGGGGTGAAGAGAAACAAGAGGGGTTCTACAAAATTGAAAGAAAGAAGAAAGTGGGGTAAAGAAATAAAACAGGGATAGAAGAAAAGGGAGTGCGTGGGGAGAAAGGTGTGAGTGAGTGGGAAATGGGGGAGGTGAAGGGGTGGTCGGCGGATGTCAGGGAAGGTCTGGGTAATTGGATTTAGTGTAATTGAGTGGAGAGGATGAAGATAGGGCTGGGACCGGTTCGGTTCTTACTCAAAATGAGTGGAACCGTTATAAAAAATTTAACTAACGAACTCGGTTCGGTCCCTATATAAAAAATCAAGGACCGTTATGGAACCGAACCGGTAGTAAACGGTTCGGTTCTTCCTTTTACCGGTTCCTAGAATAATTTTTTCTCGTCTAAGAATTAACACATAATTTTAAACACGTCGAAAATTCAAAACACGAGTATTAAAATTTTATTTGAAGCTCTAATCACTTCAAATATCAAAGCTCAAACTTACCTAATAAACTTTGAACACTTAATAAAACAAAAGTGATTTAAATTTTCATGTAATAAATCGAACATTAAAAATCGTTGTAGTGTCGGAGCGATGAAGATTACTCGTCATCATAGTAGCAAGAATAGGACGCCTACTTCAAGTCTTTCAAAACATAAAAAAAGACATTGAGTTTGCATGTATCGATATAAAAACATTATTACATTCTGATCTATTGATTCATAATAAATCTAATAATTAGAAATATCATGAAAATAGTAAAATAAAATATGTGCAATCAACTACAAGTTATTTGGGTTATTTTATATTTATAAAATTTATGTGATGGAACAAAACTTGATTTGTAGAAATGAGTTTAATGTATTATATCAACCTCATGTACAATATTTATTACTTCTTTTTCGTTGATTAAATTAGAATTGTTAGTTAAATATCTTATATTGTTTTATTATTGTTGTTGTGGTGGTGGTTATTATTGCTATTATATTATTATTATTATTATTGTTGTTGTTACTACTACTATTATTTTATTTTATTTTATTTTTATAACGGTTCCTTAACGGTTCCATGCACATATTTTTATAGGTACCGGGAACCGAACCGTTATAACCCGTTTCGGTTCGGTTCCTACAAATGAGGCATTAATTGTTAACGGTTCGGTTCTTAGATGTTGTTAACGGTTCGGTTCCAATCGGTTCTACGGTTCCCGGTTCCAAAATCCCACCCCTAGATGAAGATGTGATGTTGATAGGGATGTGTTAGAATTCTTTTATTTAAATGAATTTAAGGGTAGTATAGTCATTGTGGTTATTTTTATTACTAAATGAGAAAGTGTTGCAATAAATTGGAAACTGCCAAAAAAAGGAAAGTGTTGCAATTAAAAAAACGGAGGAATGAAGTATTAGAATTAATGTAATCATTTATAATCAAACAATTAATATAGGTTTCTGGAATATACTAGCTAGCAGCAATAATGTATATATACGTATGTTCAGGGGTAATGCAAGTGGGCATTCCTTTTGTGCCTTTTCAGTTCTGTCGTACTACTACCTTTAATATTTTTTCATTTTCATAGGTTTCATTATAATAGTCTCATCTAATCTGTAATAAAAAATAATCTCACATTTGCACCTATTGTCCTATCTTCTTCTGCTAGTCCCTAACCAATTAATGGGGGTGTTTGTGTTAAGGTTTGGGGTTCCATCCTAAAAGGTCAACCTGATAGGAGGAGTAGCTCA